CAAACTGTTTAGTATTCTTGTAGACCCTTTTGGGACCAACAGCTTACAAGCATAAAAATAAGAAACTTTGTAGAGAAAACTCAAAAGGAACTCTTATCGATAAAAAATTAAATAAATTAAGCATTAGCAAATGATAATGGACTAACAAACGTCAGAACCCGCAAAGGATAACGAGTCTACAAGCATAGCACTCGAAAAATATAGAGAATTTTTAGAACTAGAGATATAATTCTAGAAAGATCTATTAATCAGGAAAACTGAATATTAATAAAAACAATTAATTTATTTATAGACTAAATTAACTAAGAGATAACTATGAAATTAAATTCAAATCTATTCATATGTGACTCACAATGGTTCATATGTAAATCATAACTGATTACATGGGTTTATATGTAAATCAGTTAAAATTCATATGTGAATTAGCTTAAATAGTTCATATGTGAATCGCACGGATTCACATATGCATAGACAGTTTATATGTGAACAGCACGAATTCACATATGCACAGAAAGTTTATATGTAAATCACATAGGATCACATATAAACTATTTGTGCATATGTGAACACGTTTGATTCACATATGAACTATTTGTGCATATGTGATCCTATGTGATTCACATATAAACTATTTGTGCATATGTGAATTATCCAGTGCTTTGCAGTCAAAATTGCAAATATTGACTAGATAAATAGCTAAGATCATTTTTCTACTTCTCACACATTTAGCACTACTCAACTGAACCTCTCCTTATATATATATATATATATATATATATATATATATATGTGTGTGTGTGTGTGTGTGTGTATGTGTGTGTATATATATTAGAGTTAATGACGTAGTTGATCCCTATAATTTCAATATGCCTTTTACAAACATAAGAAAAAAAAAAAGTGCAAAAAGAGAAGGAAAATATGGTGGATGATTTTACCCTAGATTTATAATGGCATTAGTAATTGGATCACATTTTTAAAGTAAAATCCAAACATAAAGGTGCGTTTGGTATGTAGACTACATGGGACAAGATGGACAAAAAATATAATCTCATGTTGGCATGCCATGGACAAAAAGAGCATAGGACAAGGTGGGACTATTTATAATTTTTGTGGAACAAATCTTGAGATTTAATGTTCCACGAAAAAGGGTGAACAACATTGGACAAATTACAAAATTACTTTTATACCCTCAAATTTCAATACAAAACCTAATTCATCATATCATGTTTCTTCTTCCAGCCTCCGTTTGTGGATTGCTCAAAACCATCCATTGCTTAAAACCCTCCGTTCCACTCCATTTCAGCCTTCAGGTACGCTTTCTCTTCAATCTTGTTTTCATTTCTTCCTTTCAACCTATCATCTTTCTTCTCCTCCTACAAAACCCTTGATTTTTCCCTCCCTTGTTCATCCACCACCGGGGAACTTGTTCTTACAACACGCTACTTGTTCATCCACCACCACGGAACTTCAACGTTGCCCAAGGCTAGTGATCTACAAACAGGTTAGTTTTCTGTAATTTCAATTGCTTTAGGACGATAACTGGTTTACTTTAATTTTCATTTTGGTTCTACTCATTTCAAAGGTTTATTTGTTCTTACAATATGCTACTTGTTCATCCCCCTATTCATTATTTTTTTCAATTGCTTCTATTTGAGATCTTGGTGAAATCGTCTTCAAAACCCCGGAAGGAAAAAAGGTCCACTTTACTTGATTTATGTTTTTACTTTACTTGGTGGAATCTTCTATCTTGATTTATGTTTTTACTTTACTTGAATTTGTGCAAAAAGATGTTGAAGTTTCTCATTTGATGTGTGAAACTAGCTCAAATTTGAATGGATTTCTTGAATCTTTTAAAGATTGTTCTTGAATCAATTGTGTACTTGAATTTGCCTAAAAAGATGTTGACTTTTGAGTTAATGTAGATTAAATTTGTTCTAATATATATCATGCTTCATTTGATGTTTGGAATTTGAATTGTTCTTGAACAAACAGTGTATATGATGGTTTCTATTGATGTGGGTTTATTTGAATTCAATCAAAAATATAATTTTCGAACCATTGTAGTCTACTTTAGGCCAAAATTGATCAAAGTGCTAAATTTAGTCTTAGTTTCTATATAGAGTAACATAGAAATCTTTTGAGTTAATGTATGATTAAATTTGTTCTACTCAGTTGTGCCTAGGTCTGGGGTGTTTGGTTTAGATCATCTTATTTGGATGAAGATTGATAAACCTTATATGGGTGAATTTTTTGCATCTTTCCTAGACAACCACAACTATAAACTTATATACTTATTTTATATCTTGCCATTGCAGACAAGTCTTAGGCCAATTAAACCACGCCATTTAAGATCTAAAACACAACCATTCTAATACTTTGGAGTTAACAAAATACATATAAATAGCCTGATTGAGTTGGGTACACACTGATTCACCATATTACATTGGACAGCTTTTCGTTTCACCAACCTATTTCTCCTTTGCAAGTAAACATTCATACATCAAATCACATCATAATAAGATTGATACTACAGTAACAGAGATAGAGGTAATGTGGGGATAGATTGTGAAAGAACAAAAAGTACCACGGGTACTTCCTAGAGTTTGTTTGAAAGATAAAATGATCAAGTCATGCAAGTATGACAGGAAGGGATCGTTCGTGTTCACCTAGTGGGCAGAATGTCCCCACAGTGGCGGTGCAAGTGCACGCCGACACTATGATCGCTTGCAAGTAATAAAGTGGTACAAAGTACCAAGATCGTTCTCACAGAGAAGGTACTACTGAGATTCAGAGATTTTTCATGAACTTCTTGCATGAGTTTCGAGATATAAAATAAAGTTGGATTTTTGTTTATAAAAAGACTGAAATAGGACCGACTAGCTAATTAACGAAATAAACTTCTAATATTAAATGATGGGCATGGGTGCAAGTGTTGCTCAAGATAAAATTAACAATAAAATGGTTAGACTTTTACGAGTTGTTTATAAAAGTTCCAATCTCTCGAAAGTGAACTTTTATAACCGGGTTTCATAAAATTCCATAAGGTTTTTATGTTTACCACTTCGAAACTTGCCGATCTAGCTAAAAAGTAAAAGGAATGTGATTCTTACCCAAATCTCTTTGTGATAAAAATACCTATTGCTTAACCCCTAGCTAGATGCATACAAAATTCGCGTCTCCACGTAGTTATTCAAAGACCCTCTCAAGTTCATTGTGCATCACTTAAGCCGTATTTCGGATCCGCCCATCTCTGGGTCTAAGATCTAATATTAACACKTCAAAGTGATCAGCTTATCCGCATTTTAAGTGCCGTCTAAGTGACCAAGTTACGAAGTGATAAAAGATAAAAACACCTAAATATTATATAAACATCCTAAGTTAAACTCACACCCACACTCATACAAGTAATTTAGCTAGACATAATAAAAATAATTAAAGACGTAAAATAATACTGAAATATAAATTGCATTAATGTAAAACTAAATTACAAGTACAAGGAAATAAAATACTAGACTAGAAATTAAAGACATAAATTAAAGACATAATTTAAAGACATTAATT